CCCGCCACTATGCCCGGCTAATTTTTTATATTTTTAGTAGAGACCGGGTTTCACCTGTGTAGCCAGGATGGTCTGGATCTCCTGACCTCATGATCCACTCGCCTCAGCCTCCCAAAGTGCTGGGATTACAGGCGTGAGTCACCGCGCCCGGCCAGAAACAAAGTATTTTTGAACAGCTGTACTATGTGTTTGTGTTTTAAGCTAAGTGTGAATACAAGAGTCAAAAAAGTTTTAAAACTTGTAAGTGTATAAAGTAAAAAAGTTATAGTAAGCTAAGTGTAGCTTATTATAGAAGAAAGAAAAACTTTTTTTTCTTTTTTTGAGACCAGAGTCTAGCTCTGTCACCCAGGCTGGAGTGCAGGTGCATGATGATGTCACTAAGTGATGGCTCACTGTAATCTCAAATTCCTGAGCTTGTGATCCTCCTGCCTCAGCACCCCCTATAGCTAGGATGCAGACACGCACCACCATGCCCAGTTAATTTTTTTTTCTTTTTCTGAGACGAGTCTCGCTCTGTTGCGCAGGCTGGAGTACAATGGCGTGATCTTGGCTCAATGCAACCTCTGCCTCTTGGGTTCAAGCGATTCTCTCACCTCTGCCTCCTGAGTGGCTGGGATGACAGGCAATGCCATCACGCCTGGCTCATTTTTGTATTTTTAGTAGAGATGGCATTTCATCATGTTGGACAGCCTGGTCTCGAACTCCTGACCTCAAGTGATCTGCCCACCTTGGCCTCCCAAAGTGCTGGGATCACAGGCGTGAGTCCCCGCACCCAACCACCAGCTAATATTTTTAAATTTTTTTTTTTTTTTTTTTTTAACAGATGGGGCCTTCTTATGTTGCTCAGGATGGTCTTGAACTCCTGGTCTCAAGTGATCCTCCCACCTCAGCCATCCAAAGTGCTGGGATTTCAAGCATGAGCCACCATGCTTGCCCCAAAAACTTTTAAAATATATATTTAAAGTAGCCTAAGTGTACAATGTTTATAAAGTCTATGGTAGTGTACAATAATGTCATAGGCCTTCACATTCACTTACTACTCACTCACTGACTCACCCAGAGCAGCTTCCAGTCCTGCAAGCTCTATTGATGGTAAGCGCCTTGTACAGGTATATCATTTTCTATCTTTTTCTTTTCTTTTCTTTTTTGAGACAGAGCCTTGCTCTGTCATCCAGGCTGGAGTGCAGGGGTGTGATCTCAGCTTACTGCAACTCTGCCTCCTGGGTTCAAGCAATTCTGGTGCCTCAGCCTCCTGAGTAGCTGGGACTACAGGCATGTGCCACCACGCCCAGCTAATTTTTGTATTTTTAGTAGAGACAGGGTTTTGCCATGTTGACCAGGCTGGTCTTGAACTCCTAGCCTCAAGTGTTTCTCCTGCCTTGGTCACCCAAAGTGCTCGGATGACACTGCCTCCAGCCTTTTTCTATCTTTTATACTGTATTTTTACTGTACCTTTTCTACATTTAGATATGCTTCTAAACATGAATACTATTGTGTTACAACTGCCTTCAGTAAGCAGTACAATAACATGCTGTATGGGTTTGTAGCCTAGGATCAATAGGCTCTACTATATAGCCTAGGTGTGTAATAGGCTATGCCATCTAGGTTATATAAGTACAATGTATAATGTTCGCACAATGACAAAATCACCTAATGAAATCATATGCCTGTTGTAAAGCGATCCATGATAGCATATATATGTATACATGTGTATATGTGAAATATATACACCTCAGAGCAAACTCATTCCAACTGAAGCCAAGATAATCTGGTCATCCGCAAAAATACTTTATAATGGCTTAATTGCACAAGTATGATATCTAAAATAGAAAGAGCTTTTAATTTTTCCTTTTAAAAACGTTATTTATATAAACATACACATTTTTGTTTTATTTTATTTCTGAGACAGAGTTTCATTCTGCAGCCCAGGTTGGAGTGCAGTGGCATGATATCAGCTCACCACAACCTCCACCTCCTGGGTTCAAGCAATTCTCATGCCTCAGCCTCCTGAGCAGCTGGGACTACAGGTGCACACCACCATGCCCAGCTAATTTTTGTATTTTTTGTGGAGATGAGCTTTCTCCATGTTGGCCAGGCTGGTCCTGAACTCCTGGTCTCAAGTGATCTGCCTGCCTCGGCCTTCCAAAGTGTTGGGATTACAGGCAAGAGCCACCGTGCCCAGCCAATATATACTATTAAAAGGAGAGATTGCTTTATTCGCACAGCCTACTGCATTTTCAGGTGTTCTGATTCTCTCTGACTATATAACACTTAGCAGCAATTAATATACCAAAATAGGTAAGAGTCCACTGAATATTGGTTCAATGTAATAAAGGGATTTATAATGAGAGAGTTAAATAACTATTTGGCAGTTCCAAAGATACATATATAAAATACATATAATAT